TTTTTATTAATTTTAATAAACATTTACAGAGATTTTAGATTTCCATTCATTCATTGTTGCACTTTTCTCCCTGCCTACCCCTCTCCCCCAGTTTGCTCTTCTCTTTGAAAAGTAAAAGAAAAATTCCTTCATTGGTATTCAGTTGCCCCCCCACCGCCCTGCCCCACCCCAAGTACACTCAACTAGGCAACCTTTATTCTGGACTCTTGTGATACCCATAATACCCTATCAGAGGAACACCCTTTTTAAATTCCACTCCATGGAAGTGCTTGTGAATGTTGATGGCTTCCTCTCTGGTCACCATTTCATCAATAGAAGAACGGCCTTTCTTCTCACCACCCTTCCTTGCGGCCAGGACCAGCCTGAAAAAGATGAGGGCAAAGGATTGTGGGAAAAGGAAACATGGAGTCACACCAGTTGGGTTTTCTGAGGCAGTAAATCCCACAGGATGAGATCACCCACCTTTCTTGGGAGCAGCAGGTATCATCTTTGGCTTTAACAGCTTAGCTCTCCAAGGAGGCAGCATCCAATTCCTCACCACCCTCCTCAAGCTCCCATGATCACCTCTTCCTTCTTTCTTTACATGACTTCTCATTTCTGGGTCCACCCAACACCAGTTTCTCCTGTCCTGGCAGTGGTTGGGTCACCTCTGAGTCACCTGGTACCTTCTAAGCCTTGATGGGGTCACTGGTACACATGAGACCTCACCCTGCATCCATCCCTGGTCAGTCCCCATGACTGGAATACTGAGTAAGTGTGTCATAACCGGGCACGTCCTCCCATTTCATTGCTCTGTTCATTCAACGGGTGAGGGGCGAATCCAGAAAAACAAACTCGTTGCCATTTCTGACTCATGGTGACCCTACACATGGGTAGAGAAGAAGTTCTCCATATTTTTTCCTCTGTTGTTTTTAGGAAGGCAGACCACCAATCTATTGACAGGATTTGAACTTCCCACTTTAAGGCTGGGCAACTCAACCCAACTCAGCTCAGCTCAGCTCAACTCTACTCAACTCAACTCAGCTCAGCTCAACTCAACTCAACTCTACTCTACTCAACTCAACTCAGCTCAGCTTAGCCCAACTCAATTCAATTAAACTCAGCTCAGCTTAACTCAACTCAACTCAACTCAACTCTACTCAATTCAACTCAGCTAAGCTCAGCTCAACTCAACTCAACTCAGCTCAGCTCAACTCAGCTCAACTCAACATTGTCACTGAGTCAGAACTCACTCACAGCTGACCCTTCCATCAGATTTTCAGAGGCACAGGAGAAGACTGCCCATCTTTCTCCTCAGGAGCAGCTGGTGGATCCAAGCTGCCTGCCTTTGGGCTAGCAGTGCAACTCCTTACCCACTGCGCCATTGGAGCATCATTTGAGGTGAACAGCTGGGCACAGACTACTTGGGCCAGTCACTCAGGAAACTTGTGCAAAGAAAGCTCTCTGCCATTACGTCAATCCCAACTCGTTGCAACGCTATGGGACAGAGCAGCGATGACGCATAGGCATTCCCAAGGCTGTAATCTTTGTGGAAACAACCTGCCTCATCTTCTGAGATGTGGCTGGTGGGTTCAAACCAACAACCCTTTGGCTTGCAGCCCAATGCTTAGCCTCCAGTGCTACCAGGGCTCCTCTCTGAAATTTAGGAAACCTTCTTTAATTGTTGTTCTTATTAGTAGACTTTGAAGGTGTTGTTTTGCCCTTTTCCTTGACCACGAAGCTCTGGTGGTGTAGTCTCTAGTAAGCTGAGCTGCCAACCACAAGACTGTACATCTCTGCTTGTCCAAATCCACCAGGAGATCCGAGGGGCAGTCC